ATCTTACCTTATAATTAAACCTTATTCTATTATAATCACCAAAATATATCTTACCATATCATCTATATGAAAATGATTAGAATTTATACATTTACCCAACTATCTAACTTTCACTGAAAAAATAAATGTATATTATGAATCTATGTCTATAAGAGGCAGTCAAAGTATTGGTTTTTCGCAACTTGGATAGCATCATTTATACCAAATTGATTAGAGCGTCAATTTTGTAAGATTATTTTATCAAATTATTAATGGTTTTAAATACAAGTTTGTGTATGATTGATGTACCTCAAACCACCCTGTGCCCATTGCAAACCCAACAGGTTATCCAAACTTAATCCAACTCTTATTGGGATGGGTTGAACCCAACTTAAATCAATTGGGGCGGGGGAAACCCGGCCCGATGGGTTGTGTTGCCATGATATTTTTACTCCAATTCCCAATTTCCGTACAATCCGACTTTGTGTTATTTAGATCATCTTCAACCCATTGTACCAATTTGGTGCAAAATTACACTAAATTGGTGTAAAACACTATTCTATCTCCAACCCATAACACCAAATATTACACCAAAAAAAATACTTCTTAGAATATTCTTTAGAATATTTTTTTTTCTTTTATTGTAATAATCAACAATTAAATCTATTTCATTCATTATTTTTGTATATATTAATTAAATATTGAGAATGATATTTTTATTAAATAATAATTATTTTAAAAATTATACTAATTTAATAAAATTAAGCATTTATTTAATCAAATAAACATTACATTTAATATAAAAAACATTACATCTAATATAAAATGATTAAAAAAAAAAAAAAACAACAATAACACAAAGGTAAAATTCCATATTGATAGTAATTTAATTTTTCGAATTAGTATGTTCTTCCCACAAATGATCAAAAAGATGTGTTGTCCATTCAAGCTTTCGAGATTTGTGGTTCATTCAAAAAGATGTGTTGTTCATTCAAGTTTTTGAGATTTGTGGCTCATTCAAAAAGATGTGTTGTCCATTCAAGCTTTTGAGATTTGTGGCTCATTCAAAAAGATGTGTTGTCCATTCAAGCTTTTGAGATTTGTGACTTATTCAAAAAGATGTGTTGTCCATTCAAGCTTTTGAGATTCGTGGCTTATTCAAAAAGATATGTTGTCCATTCAAACTTATGTTATAAAAGGGCATACAACACATTAGTTTTGAACACATCTCTTCTACTTCCTCTTAGAAAAAAAAAAAAAAAAGCATACATCTTCTTCATTTATGTTACAAAATGACTACACAACGAAGTTCTTCGTATACAAATGAAGAAGACATGCATCTATGTCATATTTATCTTGATATTTCTCAAGACTCGATTTTAGGTATAAACCAATCTAGTGATCAATTATGGTCTTGAGTTAAGCTTGACTACAATAGTTCCAAACCCGTGTTTCTCACCCAGGTTCGAAACAAAAGATCTTTACAATGTCGAATGCGACTGATCTTTAAAGCTATTTGCAAATTGAGGGGATGCGTACGTCAAATTGAAAATATGAATCCAAGTAGTGCTTCTAAGCAAGATATTGTGAGTATTTGTTACATTTCATTCAAGCTTTTTTTTTTTTATCTAATTGATTTTAACATTATATGTATATTGTTTTGTAGATGATTCAGGCCAAAATGTTACTAGCACAAGATAAAAATTACGAGAAATGTTTCAAATTTGATCATGTGTGGCCTATACTTAAGGATATTGAAAAATTTACAGATAATGTTAATGCCGCAGAAGTATTTCAAAGGCAAACCGGTAGGTTTGAATCACAAGAATCAGAGAATTCCACTTCAAAGTCTCCCCAATCGATGCCTTGTGACATATCGTCAAATTCTCTAAACATAAGTGATGAAAATATTGGGGGTAGTTTAGCTCAACGACCCATTGGGGTGAAGAAAGCAAAATTTAGAAGGAAAAATGATAAAGAAGTTTTAAACAGTTTTGAAACTATTCAAGAAGAAAATCGATAGCTCGCTGCTATTTTCACTCAGGGCAACTTAGATAGGGCACAAAATTATGAAATCCAAATGAAAAAATTGGCTTTGGCAGAATATCGAGAAGATAACAAAATTTTATTCAAGGATTTGAATTCTATAACCGATCCAAGCTTACGTGAGTTTTTTCAAAATAAGCAATTAAGAATTATGCAAAAAAGAGCTCAACAACAAGGTCAAGGATCTCAAAATAACTCTAGTTCTTTTCAATATTTTGATGATCTTACTGGATCCGAAACTAATCTACCAGAATACTAAATTGTTATTTTAGTTTATATTGTATTTTCTTTTAATTTTAGTGTTTTTAAATTAGTGTTAATTTTTATTTTGAGTTATTGTAGTTTAATATTTGCATTGAATAAAGTTCTATTTTTAATTTTTCATCATTTTTTAAATTATATTATTATTATGAATTTATTATTATAAATAATAATCAAATTAAATTAAATACAAATACTCAAATTTGATGTGATTTTTGGTGTAAAATTTAATACTCAAATTCACTTAACAAAATTAAAAACAAAAAAAAGCAAAATTAAAAAAAATATATATTTTTTATTTGTGCTACAGTGACACGCCATTTTGGCGTGGTGCTTGGCGTGGGTTGGAGATGCCCTTAAAGAGCTAGAGCATCCCATCCTACTGGGAGCACCGTTCCTCTCCACAATTAGCCCAGTGACTGTAGACAAGGACGGCATCATCGGACCCATTAAAGGTAAAGGCCGGCAGGTCTTCTTTAAGTTCTGTATGCCTAGCCTGAGTTCTCAGATTCTTTATAAGGACTCATCCATTTTCATTTTAAAGGCGAACATTTCCATTGAGTGACTGTAACTGCTATGGTTTACAGTCAATAGTTCTTAACCAACCCTTTCTCTTAGAGCTTTAAGAGAGAATAGGGAGTAAGGGGGGACCTTCGCTTCATTAGAAATTGGACCCGGACTTTCTTCTTTTGCGGAGCCCTGAGAAAGTCATCGGCGGCGAGTTAGTACAGTTTTCCTGCTGCTGATTTGGCCCTGCGCTGCTATGGAAATACATGTATTCAAGTACAGATACTAAGAAAGATATTATGCTTAGTGTTAGGGCCAAAAATCGTCCTTGGCCCAAATAGGGAAACAGGACCACTAGTGAAGAATGACCAGGCCCAGTCTTGCAGAGGCCCAATTCGGATTAGTCCTATTTGATACGAGGTATAGCCGGCCCAAACCACATGGGCGCGAACCTCCTAATCCCAGTCCACTTCCTGGGTCCATGGGCGAGTCCAGAGCCCATAGCCCCCTCAGTATTTTCCTATTCTTAATCAATCCCCTATTCAAGGTCGCCTTCCCCTTTCCTGATCACTTTCCCACTTGGAGTTAATTCTCCTAATCAGAATCAACTTCCTATCCGGACACTGGTAAGACAACTTATTACGGCCCTGATTCTTCTAAGGTTGGCATCAGAGTCATACTATGACTCCTACTCCCACTAGGATTGGGAGACCAGACGACCACTATATAAGCAGAGGCCAGCCCTCTCACAAGAAAACACATTCAACCTTCACATCGAAAGCTCTGACTTGAGAGCTTCACATCACTGCCGTAGTCACAGTCCCCGACTAGACTTCCGGTAACCTTCTATTCCCTAGCCCTCACTATATTAGCCTTTCAGCCTTGCTGACTTGAGCGTCGGAGTGCCTACGGCAAACACTACCCTGGTGTTTCCCATTCGCTTCACGCGTGTGTTTCTCCATGTGTGCAGGTACAATAGATCACTGGTAGCCTCAACCTCACGGGATCAGACCCCCTTTTCCGTACAGGTAGATTTTTACATCTACACTTAGAAAGTCCAACTATTTTGAGCTTCACTCAGAGCTGTGAAAGTGATACACCTGAAAAAAATATCCTTCCTCACTTCCACGAAGCTGCATTAATTGCAACAGAAATGAACTCAATTTCATACGATTACAAAATGCTTCCTCTTTTTCTCATCTCGGAGTCTCGAAACAGAAACCAAATTCTTAAAATTTTCATGGCCCGTTTGTGTACCGGTACGATCACGGGTCGCAGAATTGCTCCAAACCAAACAAAAATCGGTTCAATCTGGTCCGAGGAGCCACAGTACGGGTCATCTCTTACACTGTCTATCCCATAAAAACCTAGATTATCGAGATAGGTACGCATTCGAAGATCTCGAATCGTGCCGCCTATGGAAGCAAGGTCGATTTATATATATTTTTTTTAATGAAAATCTATTACAAGTTTTGTTAGCTACACTGTGTGTGTGTGTGTGTTTTTTTTTTTTTTAATTTTAATTTTTATGAAGCCAAAATCTTTACTCTTATGGATAGTGAAGAGCTATCTGTTTTTAAAGAGAGATGCTATTAAGGAAAAGATATGTGTATTGGGTTTGTAATGAGTCTAATGCATGCTACTTCTACTGAGTCTGAGTCCGAGTTTGGTTGTCGAGTCTATAATTTATTTTCTAAAGCCAAATTTGCTGAACTTATAAGTATGTTAGATGCACTGATGGGATGATTCCTGTAAAATATCAAGCAATTTCTTTTATATGTAAAAGTATATGTTTTATTTAAACTTGGAGTTAGTTAGCTTATGAAATCATCGTATCAATGATTAACTTAAAGTTTTATTAACTAGCTTATTATGGTTTGTCCTGTTAATTAACAAGATTGCTGCTTATCAAAGTATCTTTAATTATAATATGATGCAAATGCAAATGCAAATGCAAGTTTTCTGAAATTAGTGTCTCTGTTTTGTTCTTAAAAAGATCGTTTAAGTTTTGAATCTCTGGTAACTTTTCTTTGTAGGTGATCCTTTGACTTGAGAGAAACAAATGTTGTTTCTAAAGAAGCCAAGAAATGGTTTTCGCCATGCAACCTCAAAGAAGTTTCAATCACCGAGGATGCCAATAATTGAATTAGCCAGCTATGACTGCAGCCCGCATTTCATCAGAGAGACTAATATATAAATATCAGAATTGTTGGATATTGAAGAAGATGAAGTTGGTACACTTCTCTCTAGAATTTGTGGATCAAATCAGATATTGTGCATGCATTGTTGTGTTCTGGAGTGCCACATTTGGATTATTTTTGGGAGTTGAGTTTTATAAAAGGAGTGGTCGCTTCTCCTGAAAGTTTATGTTTTTGGATTATATATCAATAGTCTCATGCAAATGGTAGCAGAATCAAACCCTTAGGCACTCTTGTAAAACATGGTCGGTGCCACCAATCTAGTGATGATCTCATTAGATTGGGGGATTACTTTAATATTCACTCTACTTCATATTGCAAAAACACTTTTAAGTTGGCTTAATTTTAACATGAAGCATATATGATATCGCATAGTGTTGCATTCCCTCAAATCATATACATAAAAATTAGATCACATGTGTATGCTTTAATTCTGACCTTACTTTTACCAAGATAACTATTTGATTTATATGGTGTCTTAAGACTTAGTTAATTTGCTTGGTGGGTTTTACTGGATTAATCCTGATTGCACAAGCCTGAGCTTGCACCAACATTTTGTGGTGTTTATGTATTTCAGGATAATTTTGAAGTTAATGCTTCATCCCCTTTTCCTGAGACTAAAAGCTCTACACCCCTTTTGCCTGAGACCGAAAATATAAATGAATCTCAATTTTCTGTTATATTTATATATGTGGTAAAATTATTGGAGAGCTAAACTTAACTAAGAATATGATTACCTTCTATGTTATTCTTCTAATGATTTTTTTATATCTTATTAATGGGTTTCAGGATGTTATAATTAACAGTAGCACAGATTCTACTCTTGGTTCGCCCACAGTGACTGAGCACTATAGCTGCATGGATGTTGATCAAAGAACGAATGATAGGAGAAAGGTGAACTATCTAACCGAGTTAGGAATTTTGTACTTATCACGAAATTAAATTTTTTCCTAGGAAATTATTCATTTTCAAGTTCTAAGTACATTCTCTCTTGTAGATGATTCTGAAATGGTTCCTGGTTATTGGCAATGTCATTTTTGAGGTTTTAACAGCCGTTTTCAATCAGCTTTCGTCTCCACAGAAGTCCCTTTTTGCTCAAATTGCTATGTTGACATCTTTCATTACCTAGGATTTTGCAGTATTGAGAATTTTTGCAAGTGTGGTTAGGGAAAGTATGCTTGGAAAATGAAGGCAAATTATTTTGGTTTTATAATGTTAGAGATGGCAAGCCTTTTGGTACATTTATGGGTATCTTTGGACTGGTTTGTGCCACTCTTCAGTTTATTTAACAGGAGTTGCTTATGGGATTTATTGTCGTCGACATGTCAATAGTTGATAGAAAATAGAAGAAAGAAGCGAAAAACGTATGGGGTTTTGTGAAAATTAATTATCTCAACGAATAAAAATAGTAGTCTATAAATAGACAGTACACATCATAAAAGATAATGTAACTAAGTCTACCATTGGCCTCAACTCCTATTAACTAGGCAAAGTAAAACCACTACTTTTAACCACTAAATAAATGACTACAGACCCAGTCAAAGACCGACTTCACAATGAATAAATAAATAATAACTCTTAACACTCTCCCTTGAATTGATATCAGTATAAATCGGTTTAGGAAGAGACGGCTTCAACAATTCAACAAAACTGCTAAGCTTCCTCTGAAACAAAGTCCTTTGAATAGCATACTCCAAGCATTCTTCTAAGTTTCACAAAGGCAGGAGACTGGAGAGGCTTGGTTAGCAAATCTGTTATCCGATCTTCACTTTTACAAAATACCAACTCAATAACACCATTGTTGCATAAATCACGTAAAAAATGAAATCTCACATTAATGTGCTTGCTCCTACGATGTAGAACCGGACTCTTTGATAACTTTATTGCATAAACATTATCATAATAAATTAAAGTTGGACCTTGTTGCTGATTATGTAGAACTCCAAGTAGCCTTCGCAACTAAATAGCTTGAAATGAGCTTGATGCTATAGCAACGAACTCAGCTTTAGTAGTTGATAGTGTTACTATTTGTTGCTTCTTTGATGACCAAGTAACAACTCCAGAGCTCATTATAAACACAAAACCAGATGTACTCTTCTTATCATCAAGGTCTCCAGCATAATCAATATCTGAAAAATCAAATAGCCTTGATTTTTCAATAGTTTTAAACATGATTCCAAAATCTGCAGTGCCTTTCAAGTAACAAAAAATTCTCTTAGCAGCTAAGAGATGGACTTCAGATGGATTCTCCATGTATCTACTGATTAGGCCCACAAAATACATTATGTCTGGTTTTGTGGATGTCAAATACATAAGGCTCCCAACAATCTGCTTGTATAGAGTAGCATCTACCCTTTTTTCTGTTTCATATTTTGTGAGTTTTAGACCAGACTCAGTTGGAGTTGAAACTGGATTACAATCCTTCATTTGGAACCTGTCTAAAATATCAAAGACATATTTCTTTTGTGAAATAAAGATACCAGCATGAGATTGCACTACTTTAATGCCAAGAAAATAGTGCATCAACCCCAAATCAGCCATTTCAAATTCATTCATCATAGATTTCTTAAAATCAGCAAGCATAACTCTGTCATTACTAACATAAAATAGGTCATCAACATATAAGCACACAATAAGCATCTTCCCATCTGTTTCAGATTTAGTATAGAGTGTATGCTCATAAGCACATCTGAGAAAACATTCTTTAGCAAAGTAAACATCTATACGACTATACCAAGCTCTAGGTGCTTGTTTTAGTCCATATAATGTCTTCTTTAGCTTGTATACCTGGTTTTCATGACCTGTAACGCTCACATGGAGGCGCGTAATTTAATTTATACTCTGATACAAAAAATGTAATACTTTATTACTTGTTTATATGTGTATTTTCTTATATATATATTTTTATGAGTTTTATTGATTATTTTACGAGTATACTAGCTAGAAAGAAAGTATTACATGACTTTGTTTCACATATTCGGGAGGATGATCAATATACACCTCTTCTTCCAATTTCCCATGCAAAAAAGCTGATTTTATATCCAATTGATAGGCAGGCCATGAGTTTTGGGCAGCAACGGATAATGCCAATTGAATAGTATCAAACCTTGCTACTGGAGCGAACACTTCTTTGTAGTCGACACCAAATTCTTGTTTGTACCCCTTTGCAACGAGTCGAGCCTTATACTTATCAACTTCACCATTCTCCTTCAATTTAGTCTTGTTGACTATCCCCATTGTTCTTGCACAATAATCAGTAATGGACTCACCATCATTCATTTGCAATGTCTCAAAATCCCTTCTCAAGGTTTGAAGCTATGCACGCTTCACTCTAGACTAACCTTGGTATTTTTTCTTCATTGAATGTCAAATCTGTTTGCGAGTTTCCTTTTGGAGAATAGTCTCCAAATAGAACATTTGATTGATTGAAATAGGTAATTTTTTGCCTTGAGATCCTTTAAACTCTGTTCTTCCAATTTCTTTTGTTGAGCTTCTATCAACACCACTCCATTGGCTGGTTCAATCACACCTGTTTCCACGATGGTCTAATACTCCTTGGATTGCAGAAAATTTTCCATCAACATGCTCCAATGATCATAGTACCATCAAAGTGAGGGATTGCTGATTGAACATAGTTGTCGCTGGACATGTTTGCTGCTGCTACTACAATTAAAGCTAAAACTTTTCCTTTTCCCTCTCTGAATCTCTGATACCACCGATAGAAAATGGCCAGAAAGAAGCAAGAAATGTATAGGGTTTTGTGAAAATTAATTAGCTCGACAAATAAAAATAGTAGCCTATAAATAGGCAATACACATCATAAAAGATAAAGTAACTAAGTCTACTACTAACCTCAACTCCTATTGACTAGACAAAGTAAAACCACTACTTTTAACGACTAAATAAATTACTACAGACCGGTCAAAGACCAACTTCCACAATGAATAAATAAATAATAACTCTTACCAATAGTCCTATTAAACTGTCCCTTTGCTCCGTGGTCTTTGGCTCTTTGCTGTTGGTCTGCCATGCTCTAAAATATTTTGATGAGCAGCAAAAAGAGATGGAGTTTTTCGAGAGCTCTCAAAGTTCGTACATAGATTAGAATTTTGGGAAGTTGGACAATTTGATGGGATACATTTCTAAGTTCTATTGGAAGAGAAAGGTTTATATTATGTATACCAATCCTTATTAAAATAAATAAATAAATAAAAAATAAATAAAAATCTTCTTTTTGTTTCATCAACCTTAAATAAAATGAAATTTCCTTCTTTCTATTATTCCTCACCAAAAATGATTTCTTAACCACTATACAGATTTCTATCCTTCTCATAAAATAATTTAATCTGTCATAGAGCATAACTCCAAAGTGTTCAATTTTATTTACATTATTATGGTATTACGATTTCTTTTCTATGTTAAAAAAAAAAAATGAAGGGGAAAATCATCGTGTATGATTGTTACATGATTTATTTAATTCTTTTGTTGATCATTCATATTCATTTGTATGTAGTTTCAAACAACATGAGTTAATTTGTGTAGTATTATATTATTCCTTATATTAAAGAATTATGGATCCAAACATTGGGCTTACGGTGTCAAGGTATGGCGCTTTTTTTGGGCTTTGGGTCGTTGGTTTAGGGATGTTAGCTTAGAGAGTGAAATTACACTAAAATTTTGCTGGGAAATTGTCATTCTCCCTATTCTTTTCAAACATTACAGTTAATGTCCTTTTTATTATGATTAAAAATACATATATTCTTGGTTGAATTTTGTAAATACGTGAGAGAAGATGCCTCAACAATTAAATGAACTAAAATTTTTGGACAACAAAACATAGTGCATAGATCATCCATTACAATAGGTGCTTCTTCAAGGAGCGTGTATAATTTTTTTTTTTTTTTGGGTAAGTAGGAGCGTGTATAATTTGCTACTCACTTTGATGGTTTATATATATTGTTTTAAAACTCGACCTGTTGAAGGACTCGAAAAGGTGATCGGGTCACAGGTCGATTGGTCTAATAGATTAGATCAGTTAGGTCGGCCAGTGGCATCAGCAATAAAAATATTTTTTTAAAATTATAAGTTAGTCTCTTAAATTTTGGTATATCCCAAAATACCCTTAAAAATAGTAAATTAATCCATAAAATTTTAATTTATTTAAAAAAATAGGCCAAAAAATGTATTAGTTCATAAAATTTTGAAATATTTCAAAAACACCCCTAGAAAATTACAAAGTAGTATCTATAAATTTGAAATATATCAAAATTGCCCTAGAACCTGAACCGGACTGGAGAGGCTGTCAGGTCCAGGTTGGACCGGTCCGATCCGAGTTTTAAAACAGAGTTTATATATGCTACAATATGTAAATATGAGGGTTACATTTTGAACAAGGGCCTTGTAATTGAACTTTTCGGATATGCTAATTCTCTCAAATGTAACCATATCTCAACAAGTATCCCTATATGGGTGTTTCATGGCGTTGAAGATTAGGCAGGTTTGGCTAGCAATTGTGCCTGGATATCTCACTTATTGACCAAAAAAAAAAAAAAATTTGAAAGATCTAAACATTGTACCATAACTATTAAGAGCCTTTTAAGTTGATCTAACTTTTCTCTCTTTTAATTGGTTTTGTTTTTGTTTTTCAAGTTAAACTGGAAACTGGTGCCAAAATCTTCGACAGACACAAGAAAAAGCTAATACGAATTACTATGACCTGTTCCACTTGATCAATAAATGGCCACTATAATTGTTATATATATAGTTTCAGGAAAAACAAAAAAGAATTGGTCTTGCTGCACTCAAAAACCCAATCTTTTGATGACTCAATTTGGCAATGCTGTAGTAGATTATTAATAATTCTCAGTATTCTTCCATGCTGCTTTAAGGTTTTTAGGTAACTTTGATGACCGATTGAACCAAACCTTTGTGTTTATATATATCATGGTGATGAGTGTGCATCTGTTCATCATGTTCTAATCAAACGAATACAAAACCATTACAAATTTGATATATATATATATTTTTTTCTCATAACCAAGATGCCTTTATTGAAGACCAATACCAATTCATAGGGCAATTGTTATGTATACTACTTATATCATCCCATAAAAAGCACTTTCCCGGACCAATCATTCAATATATACTAGTCTCCCTGCAACATTGTAAGCAGCAGCTAATATCAGTATCCAGTAACAAGTAAATATGCTAATAATATTAAGCACATTGAAGAACTACTAGAAATACTCACATGGTGGTTATCTCGACCAGATATGCAAGCCGGTCTTCTTGGTGGCAGTTGTTGGTGTGGAGTTCTCTGAAAATTACTGAGTCGGTTAACTTGTTCTGGCAGATTGTTATTATATCATTATAATAGATAAATACAATACCTGCAGTTTTGGTCTCAGAGTCTCTATTGCCACTGTAGATTTCTCTTTCACTCCAGCACCTTGCTGCTCATAAATTCAAACCAATTTTAGGTAAAAGCTATGAGTTATTATTTATCAGATCAAAAATGGCTAAATTGGGAGACAGTTTTACCTTGCATAATGCCCAGTCTGCTGAATCAAAGAAGGCACGTTCATGATCCTATATACACATTACAAAATTTCACTTTAATTCAATCCCAAACACATACCATTTTTAATTAAAGGCTAAATTTTTACTTACCTTGGAAATTAAAGGCTTCTTCTTGGGTACAAGGCCCCCATATTTCTTCTCCGCCGTTGCTTCCTGTTTTCCGAACAAAAAAAAAATATTAAAATCTATTATCAATAAAAGACAAAAATTTCAAAACGTTTAATTGAATTTCAAAATCTATTCTTGTCTGGGGTGAATCGGGTGGTGCTGCGTCCTTGTCTTCTTTAGGTTTGGGCCTTGGGAGTGGAGGACAACGTTTCAAATGTGATTGTATAGGTGGCAAAATTGGACACGTGTCATGGTTCAGTTGCTTGAGGTCTAACTAGATAAAAATAGAGTAGTTTACATGCAAAACAACAGTATGCTCGGCTGCCGACATTTCAAAGAATGTTTCAAATGCAGCTTCTGCCCGTTACTCAACGTATATGAAGCCGTGTCAAAGTACTGGCCGTTTGATGTAGGGACCAGCACCATTTTGTGATGGAGGAGTGCACATGGGATCAATTCTAACCATAATTGGATTATATAATCAATAAAATATCTTGCTACTAAATTCAACCGATTAAGTAATATTTGGTTAAAAAATAAATAGCTTAAATTGTTGTCGTGTGACACGCCATGATACACGTGCACCAAATCCGAGCCTTTAGCTCTCAAAATCACACGCCATCGACGGTGAAATTTGGGCCCGCCGAGCCCAACACCACGAAATCCTTTGGTTATTTTTTTTATTTTATTTTCTTGCCAAATATTACTACCAAACTGTAAAAAAGAAAAAAAAAAAACGAAGTAGAAATCAATGGAGTTTCCGAGTTTGTACCTCTTGAGAAGAATAGAAATCTTGTTCTCTGTTGCAATCCGCCATCTCGCAGTTCTCCTGTTTAATCTTTCATTCAAAGTTATTACTTAAGCAAGAAGCGGAAACATAATCAAACCCTTATATATATATATAAAAAAAAACACAAACGCCATTAACCAACCTCTGTAAAAGAACAGATAGCAAAAGGAGAAGCTAAGAAGAAGACAGTGATTAACAAAGCGAAAGAAACACAAAATACGAAATGTTGTTGCAGAAGAAAAAGGATCTTGGCATTACCTTGGAGAGGAGAAAAGACACAGAGAGAGAGAGAGAGAGAGAGAGAGAGAGATAAAAGAGAGAAGCAACAAAATTGAAGAGATAAAAAGAGAGAAAGAGATATCAAGAATAAGGGGGAAGGGTTGAGTGAAGAGGGGAGATAAGAATATATGTACAGAAGTTAAGACGTTCGATACTATGGTAATTAATTAATTAATGGAAAGACAATCAACCAATAAGAAGAGAGAATACGAGAGAAGGTTGGTAAGAATCAGGTTAAGGTCTGGTGAAAACAAGGTAGTAAAAATGAATATGGTTCTGTACTTATAGAAGGTTGTTGTCCATGTCGTTAAGCTATCAACATCAGTTGGTCCATAGGGCAACCCCAAACCGTACATATTTCCATGTGAAAACATTCACGGTTTCCTCAAATATTTTCCTCCCACATATTTTCCATCTATAAATCTCTCCTCTTTTTATGGGATTTTTTTTATTTATTATACCTTCCTTTTGCGGATAGACCTTAATTAGTGATTCCTTCATGTTATAGAGAGAGTATTTATTAATAAAAAAGAGAAAAAAACAGTTTCAAAGTAATTAAACAATAGCCGCTAAAGTAGCCATGGAGGAGGCAAGGCTATTAATCTTTGGCAACTGGCAAGGGGGCCATGGATAAAAGCATCATTCTATTTCTTTCAATAATGGCTCCTCCTTGTACTTTTGGAGCACATGTTACAGTAAACAGGTAGCAGCAAAACTTGATCTGCTGCTGCTACATTGAAGCAAAGAAAATGGAATGGAATTCAATACCCTATTGTGTAAAAACCTAGTGTATTATGATCTTCTTCCTCTTGCTTTTGCAGTGATGAAAGAAGACTAGCAAGCTAGACCATATATCTATTAATACCATTTGACAGCCTTTCCTGTCAATTGTTAAAGAATTACTAAGTTTTGATCTCCTCCAAAGTTGCTTGAAGTGAGATTGAATGCTTGAGATCTCCGATGTGAAGATTATGTTCACCCATTGGAATTCTTCGAATTCCGAATTGATCAGCAATACTTAGGTGTTTGCACACATCAACATTAAACTTAACACTATGCTGTGATCCAGCTGCAATATGGATTTTCTCAAAGCCTATCAGTTGCTTACTTGCGGACCATTTTCCGGCTGGCGGCGTCGAGAAAACAAGAAGGGTATGTGTCCCATCCATGGAGCCGTTGTTTTTAACATTTCGCATGGAAAACTAATGAGAGTTTATTGCAATTGTATGTTTGACCCTGATGGCATTGCTTGAGACACTAGAGTTTTTGATGGCATAGACACTTGGTGCGAGGAATTGACACTTCTTCTGGAGCAATGTCTAAATTGTGAGCAAATTTGGTGTAGCTCATTCCATGACCAAATGGGTACACACATTGCCCTTATAGAATCGATAAGTCCTTCCAGGATAGCTCTTGATGGGTTGTGTCTCATGCATATCTGTCATGGGGACCTTAGCTAAATAGTTTGTGGATACCATGCATTGGCAGCTTTCCTCCTGGATATAGAAAAAGTATAAGGAATTAATAAGAGTACATTTGCTTTTACTGAAGAACATTTAACTTGTGTTAAAATGGAAACCTGGATTAGTTGTTCCAAACAGAACATCAGCAATAGCAGTACCACCAGCTTGGCAGGTAACCAACCCCCAAAATGGCACTGATACGGGATCATTTTTAGCAAAGTGACATCAATGGGGCCACCACTCATCAAGACCAAAATTGTAGGACCTCTTGAGGCCCTTGACACTCTGGTTACAAGCTCCTGTTGCAGTCCAGGCAGAGCAGTCGGCCCTGTCCTTAAATTCGCTCTATGGATTGGTCCAGGCCCATTACCAAGACTGTTGCATCGGCCTGGCGGGCTGCTGCCTCGGCGGCTCTAAATTGTTGGTTCCCTCTGCAAGCAACGCCTAAGCACCCTTCTAGGTGATGGTCTTCGATATCTTGCAATCCCCTGCACAGGACTGGTATAACCACATGCAACACCTAAAAATTGCATGGAGCTGTTATTTCGATACCATATTAAATAAGTACTCTGTCGTCACGTAGTATATATACATACCTGCATAATTGCCAATCATAGTTACTGTAGCATCAGAGTTGGGTCCGATGACTGCTACGGTACGATGAGCCGAGTGGAGAGTGGTAAAGTTGGCCTAGAGTTCTTCAACAGAACAATGCCTTGTCGTGCGGCCTGGAGAGCGAGGAATTGGTGGGCTGGAGTGCAAACATCTCTTGGGCCAGTTTTCAAATGGTTGGGCTGACGGTCGCGCGTCGAACATGCCAGTCTCATTTGGACCATTATTGTGTTGGCTAAAGCCAGGTTAACATCTTCCTCTTAGCAATCCTCTCTTTACAGCCCCTCTGTGTGGAGTGCCAGGAAAGGCCCACAATCCAAATCTAAGCCTGCAAAAGTTTCCCAGGGGTCCAAAAGCTTCAACACCTCTGCCAAATCAATTAATTTTTTTAGGGAGAACGACTTATACATACCCAAGATTTATCGTAACGACAAGTTGGTACCCAAAAGGTTTTGAAATGACAAATAGGTACTTTCCGTCATGTTCTGTAGTGATTCTGTTTATTAATAGTGAAAAGATAAAATACCCTTAAAAGTTTGAATTTTAGTTTTTATAAATTTAAAAATTTAAAAAAACCCCCTAAGTTTACAAATTTCACTAAATAACCCAATATATAAAAGTTTAATAAAATAACAAAAAACACCCCCCACCGGCAAGTGCCAGATTCCAGCACCACTGCGGAATTGGCCGGAAAGTTGCGTTACGACACAGACCGTCGGATCTGTGTCGTAACGGTCGATCTGGCCTTTCGGCCAGATCGTGGCTGATCTGGTCGGAAAAGGCAGATCTACAGAGATCTGGCCGTCAACGCGAAAACTCCATCTGCGGCGTCGAAGGCCAGATCTGGCAGTAGATCTGGCCTTTTCCGGCCAGATCAGCCACGGATCTGGCCGGAAAAGGCCAGATCTGGTGCTGCTTCGACGGCCAGATCTTGCCTTTTCCGGCAAGATCCGTGGCGGATCTGACCGGAAAAGGCAAGATCGGCACGTTACGACACAGATCCGACGGATCTGTGTCGTAATAAGTTTTCCGGCCAGATTCCGGCGATGGTGGCCGGAATCTGGCACTTGCCGGTGGGGGGTGTTTTTGTCATTTAACAAACATTTTATATATTGGGGTGTTTAATTAAATTAGCAAACCTAGGGGGTTTTTTAGAAATTTTAAATTATAAAAAACAAAAATTGAAACTTTGAAGGGCATTTTGTCTTTTCCATATTAATAAACAAAAATCACTAACAGAATATGACGGAAGGTACCTATTTGTCGTTTCAAAACCTTTTGGGTACCAACTTGTCATTACAGTAAACTTTGGGTAGTACAAGCCGTTCGCCCATTTTTTTATCTCAAATACAAATTAAGAGTGTCATTATTTTTCCTAACCTGCTTTGATGTAATTGCAGCTGCTTCTTCGGTGTGTCGGTAAGTGTTGAGTATCATATAGAATCGAAGAGTCACAATCTGAGGCAATGTATCTGTTAGGGCAAAAAAAAAAAAAAAAAAAAAAAAAAAAACAGAGTTAGAAAACTTGATGAAACAACATATTCAAAACTGATAGGGTATGATGAGTTTTCCACATGGAAATAAAATGGAACTCACCCATTAAGCCTCCATTGGCCACGGATTGTGTTCTTGAGAATATCAGGATCAGCACAAGTCGGCTTCCATTGACTTGATTATAAGAGACATAACACTAGCAACTTTTCCTTCTACAACACATGACTTGAATGGCACATCATAGGTGTCTTCTAAATCCGCTTGCTCACCTCGCTTATCAAAATCAATACAATTTTATTACATCATAGGACCACCAGAATGCTCCTACGAACTTTTATTAATGAATTATAAATAATGTTAATTTCAGATGATAATGAATTGATTGAGAATTAATATCTTACCCTAGCATTAAAATGGTAGCGATCGACGCCATTCAGTTATCAAGACATAGGCTTGTTAATGTTTACAACATGCAGCAACTTTAAGCCTATTTCCTGCAGCGGTACCTTGCAGTCCGCTGACATAACTGGCTGCATATTTTCCAGCCAAAACAGGATCCTACAGGAGTCTCTTGCCCCTTCCCCCTCTGGGGTCCCGAAATATGTTCACATTCGGACTCAATATGTCAAACCGGCCATTCCTCCATTGTACATTGCTCTTGCTTCATCCGACACCACCTGCACCACCAAACATCAACAACAAGAGACTATATCAATCAGTTATCGTTCGTTTAATTCACGTTTTTTCATTTAAATGATTTCAGATAAGATAATAAATGGAAAATCATTCATTTATGGCTAAATGGGATGGGACCCGACTGAGGATGGAGCCGTGGCTAAAAAGAGTACGTAAATGCTCGCAAGTTGGACTCCTGCTACTTGTTGCATGCGAGGTTTAACTTTTATCTAAAACTGATAAATTTTTTATTCTTGGTTGAAAGCTTTAGTTGTTACAATCCCTATATCCTTTTCTCTTATCTCGTCCATAAATTATAATATTTTCAGCCTCATGACATGTTGATTTCATAGCTGAAAACCATCACATATATAAAGCCAAATCTAACAACCCATTTCATATATTTGTTTAATGGATTTATTATATTGCTAGGTATGGGACTTCTGCAGGTACTATTCAATTATATATATGTGAAAGTTTGTGGCTACTAGTTAGTTAGTTCAAGCAACTTTTTAAGCAAACAATAAATTTTCTGAATGGTTGTCGCACCGTAGGCTGCAGTCATGAACTGAAGAGCTCGAACTATGCCTAGTGCGATCGGGTGTTGAGAGTTAGGATTGCGATCTGAGAGCTTGGAGCAATCTGAAGTTGAGCACAATCTTATAACTGACATGAAATATCCAATAGATGAATTCCTGGAGGGAGCTAACGTCAGAAGCCCAAACGCACAGCTTAGAGGCCTTAAACGGATAAGCCAACTTAAAACAGTCATAACTTTTGATTCGAGAGGAGTTTTGGAGCCCGTAAGATATCCACGGAAAGCTTGTTCCGAGCTCTTCGTCGAAGCAATTGGGAAACCCAATTAGGGCCATTTTCGAGGCCAAAATCCACTGTTTTGGCATGTTTTGAGGCTGTTTTAAGTTTTCTACGTGTTTTTTCTAACGCTGACATCTAGTCGCGATATGAGAATTGAGAACTGAGAACTGAGAACTGATCGCGATCTGAGAGTTGAGAACACGACCTGGAGCTGTTCACAACATCAAAGCTAAGAGCTGATCGCGATTTGAGAGCTAGGAGCTAATCGCGATTTGATAGGAGCTCGACTTGAGAGTCTGAGGCATGCGATCTGAACGATCTAATGGACACGATCTCAAGTAAACGAGCAAGCTTATAAGCTCAATCTGAGGGCATAAGGAGCTTGATCTGAGAACTCAAGAGCTCTTTACGATCTACGAGCTTGAGAGCTCTTTGAGATCAAAGAGTTTAAGGAGTTCAATCACAAAACAGGAATTCAATTAGAAAGTGCGAAGCTTGATCTGAGAACGAGAGATTAGCGATCTAAGCGCGATCTGGCTACTCGGAAGTGTGATCTAAATTATCTGAACGCATGATCTCAACGGCCTTGAACGCGCAATCCAGATGATTTGAGTGTGAGATCTGGCCACGCGATCTGGGCGATCTGAAGCTGAAGATCAGGACGATCTGAGCGTGCGATCAACGATCTGGCCATGCGATCGGAGAGCTAAAGATCGGTGATCTGAAGCTGAAGATCAGGACGATCTAAGCATGCGATCAGCGATCTGACCACGCAATCGGAGAACTCTGACGCGTGCGATCGACGATCTGGCCACGCGATCGGAGAACTCTGACATGCGCGATCTGCAATCTAGCCACGCGATCAGAGAACTCTAACGCGTGCGATCTGTGATCTGGCTAAGCGATCGGAGAACTCTAAGCGTGCGATCTGCGATCTGGCCACACGATCGGAGAACTTTGAGCTTGCGATCTGCGATTTGGCCAGGCGATCGGAGAACTCTGACGCGTGTGATCTGTGATCTGACCACGCGATCAGAGAGCTAAAGATCAGCAATCTGAAGTTGAAGATCAGGATGATCTGAGCGTGTGATCAGCGATTTGGCCACGCGATTGGAGAGCTAAAGATCAGCGATATGAAGCTAAAGATCAGGACGATCTGAGCGTGCAATCAGCAATCTGGCCACGCAATCAAAGAGCTCTAACGCGTGTGATCAGCAATCTGGCCACGCGATTGGAGAACTCTGACACATGCGATTGACGATCTAGCCACACGATCGGAGAACTCTAACGCGTGCGATCTGCAATCTGGCCACACGATCGGAGAACTTTGACGTGTACGATCTACGATCTGGCCACACGATCGAAAAACTTTGACGTGTGCAATCTGCAATCTGACCACACAATTGGAGAGCTAAAGATCAGTGATCTAAAGCTGAAGATCAGGACGATCTGAGCGTACGATCAGCGATCTAGCCACGTGATCGAAGAGCTCTAACACGTGCGATCAGCGATCTGGCCACGCGATCGAAGAACTCTGACGCATGCAGTCAACGATCTGACCACGCGATCGGAGAATTCTAATGTGTGCAATCTGACCACACAACTAAAGAACTCTGACGTGCGTAATCTGCGATCTGGCCACGCGATCGGAGAAGTCTGACTCGCGTGATCTGCGATCTGGCCACGCCATTGGAGAACTTTGATGCGTGCGATCTGACCATGACATCAGGGAGCTTGGATGCAGGTTTGAGACCTGCATGGGCCACCAAACTGTTGATACTTGATTTTGGACACCAACGACTCGCAAGGGTCAAGTGCTAAGCGAGTCTTAGAAATTACACGTGATGGATCCATGAGATTAGAATATGATGCTGAGATTATATATGTTGCAGAAAACATAAATAATAGACTGACAATAGAGGCTTTTATAATGGTTCGGATGCTTAAAGCAAATCCTACATCCATTGTTATTTTATTATTCTCTGACTATTTGTAAGATATTGCCCGTAAGACATATAAAGACGAAGAAATACTTTGCTTTGTAGAGAGAAAAAATGAAACTCAAATCTATGGCTAACTCTCATATGCCCAACCCCCATTTTCGTGAAGAGAATGTCAATTTATACACATTTGAAGTCAATGTAATGAGTATTTTGCAAGTTACCTTAACATATAAAAAACTCTTATCTGTTCTTCTTTTAAAATGAGATAAGGTTAGTATAAGATATCTTTAAGGTGATATGGGCTTCAGAAGAAGTACAATTTATCTTTTAGGCACTTGTTGAGCTGACATAGCATGACCTTTTACGCATAACACTTTATTTGTTTGATTAATTGAATATGTTGATAAAAAATGTAAGATGTTTGATAGAGAAAGATCCATACCCGTCCGATTTCCTCCCACATTGATTGATTGAAAGAAGCAGCGGTGGTGATGACTTGAGGGAAGCTAGTGGCCCTCGGGAAGGCCCCACCGAATTTAGTCCCCGGACCCACATTTGACACGCCATGAAGGGCCTCGGACCACCACTCGTATCCTTGAATTCCAAGTCTCGGCACAGCCGCTGCGTTGTTCACAAGCAGCCTGATCTTCTCCTGCAATGTCAACCGGCCGATCAAGTCCCTCACTCTCACGTGTATCTGGACCGATACCCGACAGAACTTCAGACTCCTCGTCAAACCATTTCGAGGGTCGCACGCAAAGGGCGAACGTGAGTGTACATGAACAAAATGAGAGTTGAGCGATAGAAGAAGAAGCAGAACAAGTGTTGTTGGGAGAAGTGAAGAAGAAAAAGAAAAGTGTTTGATGAAATTCTGAATGGCGGGCATGTTGATTAATACAATAAGAGAGCTTAATTTGTTTGTTTTTGTTTATGTGTTTTGTCCTAAAATGAAGCCGTTTATATAGAGAAAAAGCCGGCGTCTAAATGTGAGTGAATAGGGTATTTGATTGAGGTTACACGTCGATTGATATTTCGAAGCTAAATCAAACATAATACACGCAGCCTCACTCTAAAGAGAGAGAGAGAGAGAGACAGATTGATGAGTAAGTGAGTGAGTTTAACACGCATTTAGCTGTTAGTTTTAATAGTGATAGAGCTGGCTATAGCAATTAGCTAAGACTGATTAAGAAAACAATGGCAGACAGAAACAAAAAGAGAAAAAGGAGAGAGAAGATAGCTCAGTAGTAAATAACTATTTCAGCCACAACTATAAAGCAGATAAAACTAAAAACTGGATACATATACAAACAGTTTCAGAACATGGTGGATTGGTGGTCACGGACGTGCGAATCTATTTCTTTATTTGCACTTCTTGCTCAAAGTCATATTAGCAGAGAGCACTCAAACGAAGGCAAGAAATTAAAAAAAAATACTATATTATTTATACGTTCATCTAAAAAAAAATTACGGTAAAACGTTATATTACCATCAAAAAGAAGGAAGAAACGAGTCATATTGCCATTAAAGCTATACTAGATATATACAAATATGCGTCCATGACGTTCTGTAGGCTATAGTTGGTAGTATTTTTTGAAGAATTGTATAAATGATTGTATAAATTGAAGAGATAAAAAGAGCGAAAGAGATATCAAGAATAAGGGGGAGATACGTATATATGTACAGAAAGTTGAGAAGTTAGAGACAAATGGTAATTAATTAAGGGAGAACGACATGTTCCCAACCCAAGGTTTGATGGAACGGCTCTTTCCCACCCATCAAGTTTCAAAATGACACTTTCCACCCTTGATTAGATTCTGTTAGTGTTTTCTGTTAATATTTGATTGAAAAGACGAAAATAACCTTAACTATTTTATTTCTTAATTAGTTTATTATAAATTAAAATTTAATTAATTCAAAGTCTTTATTCGATTATTTATTAGTCCAAGTATAAAGATACATTTTTTTCTTTGTTTATTTAATTAATTAGGAATATTGATTTTGTATATTAATTAGTAAAAATGAAAAACATTATAAATAATAGTGATTTGATATTGATAACGTTATAAATAAATATTAAGATTATTTAACTTTAAACAAGTTTGTAGCATTACTCCTAATTTTTTAGGTGGGGTTAACTATTTTTTTCTTTTTTTAATTTTTAATATTTGACTTTTTGGCTAATTAAAAAATAATAAAAAATTTATAAAACAAAATATTTAATGGTATTTTCGTTTTTTCATTAAAATATTAACGGAAAACATAACAGAACATAACAAATGGTGGAAAAGTGTTATTTTGAAACTTAATGGGTGGGAAAGTGTAGTTTTGCCAAACCTTGGGTGGCAAAATGTCATTCTCCCATTAATTAATTAATAAATAAATTAATGGAAAGACAATCAACCAATAAGAAGAGAGAATACGAGAGAATGTTGGTAAGAATAAGGTTAAGCTATCAACATCAGCTGGTCCATAGGGCAACCCGAAACCGTACATATTTCCATTTTCCATGTGAAAACACTCACGGTTTCCTCAAATATTTTCCATCTATAAATCTCTCCTCTTTTTATGGGATTTTTTATTTATTTATTATACCTTCCTTTAGCGGATAGACCTTAATTAGTGATTCGTTCATGTTATATAGAGAGTATTTATTAATAAAAAAGAGAAAAAAAAAAAATCAAAGTAATTAAACAATAGCCAATAAAGTAGCCATGGAGGAGGCAAGGCTATTAATCTTTGGCAACTGGCAAGGGGGCCATGGATAAAAACATCATTCTATTTCTTTCAATAATGGCTCCTCCTTGTACTTTTGGAGCACATGTTACAGTAAACAGGTAGCAGCAAAACTTGATCTGCTGCTGCTACATTGAAGCAAAGAAAATGGAATGGAATTCAATACCCTATTGTGTAAAAACCCTTTAATGACATTTTAATACTAGTATTGTTGACTTAAGATAGTGCTAGTGTATTATGATCTTCTTCCTCTTGCTTTTGCAGTGATGAAAGAAGACTAGCAAGCTAGACCGTATATCTATTAATACCATTTGACAGCTTTTTCCTGTTAATTTTTAAAGAATTACTAAGTTCTGATCTCCTGTAAAGTTGCTTGAAGCGAGATTGAATGCTTGAGATCTCCAATGTGAAGATTATGTTCACCCATGGGAATTCTTCGAATTCCGAATTGATCAGCAACACTTAGGTGTTTGCACACATCAACATTAATCTTAACACTATGTTGTGATCCAGCTGCAATATGGATTTTCTCAAAGCCTATCAGTTGCTTACTTGCAGACCATTTTCCAGCCGGTGGCGTCGAGAAAACAAGAAGGGTATGTGTCCCATCCATGGAGCCGGTGTTTTTAACATCGACATGGAAACCTAATGAGAGTTTATTGCAATTTGTATGTTTGACCCTGATGGCATTGCTTGAGACGCTGGAGTTTTTGATGGCATAGAGACTTGGTGCAAGAGGAATTGACACTTCTTTTGGAGCAATGGCTAAATTGTGAGCAAATTTAGTGTAGCTCATTCCATGACCAAATGGGAACACAACATTGCCCTTATAGAATCGATAAGTCCTTCCAGGATAGCCTCTTGATGGGTTTGCTCTCATGCCCATATCTGTCATGGGGACCTTAGCTAAATAGTTCTGTGGATACCATGTCATTGGCAGCTTTCCTCCTGGATATAGAAAAAGTAAAAGGAATTAATAAGAGTACATTTGCTTTTACTGAAGAACATTTAACTTGTGTTAAAATGGAAACCTGGATTAGTTGTTCCAAACAGAACATCAGCAATGGCAGTACCACCAGCTTGGCCAGGATAACCAACCCACAAAATGGCACTGATACGAGGATCATTTTTAGCAAATGTGACATCAATGGGGCCACCACTCATCAAGACCAAAATTGTAGGACCTCTTGAGGCCCTTGACACTCTGGTTACAAGCTCCTGTTGCAGTCCAGGCAAGAGCAGTCCGGCCCTGTCCTTAAATTCTGCCTCTATGGATTGGTCCAGGCCCATTACCAAGACTGTTGCATCGGCCTGGCGGGCTGCTGCCTCGGCGGCTCTAAATTGTTGGTTCCCTCTGCAAGCAACGCCTAAGCACCCTTCTAGGTGAATGGTCTTCACATATCTTGCAATCCCCTGCACAGGACTGGTATAACCACATGCAACACCTAAAAATTAAATAAAACTGTTAACTTTGATACCATATTAAATAAGTACTCTGTCGTCACATAGTATATATACATACCTGCATAATTGCCAATCATAGTTATTGTAGCATCAGAGTTGGGTCCGATGACTGCTACAGTACGATGACGCCGAGTGGAGAGTGGTAAAGTTGGCCTAGAGTTCTTCAACAGAACAATGCCTTGTCGTGCGGCCTGGAGAGCGAGGAATTGGTGGGCTGGAGTGCAAACATCTCTTGGGCCCAGTTTTCCAAATGGTTGGGCTGACGGCTCGCCGTCGAACATGCCCAGTCTCATTTGGACCGTTATTGTGTTGGCTAAAGCCAGGTTAACATCTTCCTCCTTTAGCAATCCTCTCTTTACAGCCCCCTCTGTGTGGAGTGCCAGGAAAGGCCCACAATCCAAATCTAAGCCTGCAAAAGTTTCCCCAGAGGACCAAAAGCTTCAACACCTCTGCCCAAATCAATTAATTTTTTCTCTCAAATATACAAATTAAGAGTGTCATTATTTTTCCTAACCTGCTTTGATAGTAAATGCAGCTGCTTCTTCTGGTGTGTCGGTATAGTGCTGAGTATCATATAGAACTCCAACAGAGTCACAATCTGAGACAATGTATCTGTTTAGAGCCAAAAAAAAAAACCAGAGTTAGAAAACTTGATGAAACAACATATTCAAAACTGATAGGGTATGATGAGTTTTCCACATAGAAATAAAATGGAACTCACCCATTAAGCTTCCATTGGCCACGGATTGTGTTCTTGAGAATATCAGGATCAGCACAAGTCGGCTTTCCATTGACTTGATTATAAGAGCACATAACACTAGCAACTTTTCCTTCTACAACACATGACTTGAATGGCACATCATAGGTGTCTTCTAAATCCTGCTTGCTCACCTACACTTATCAATATCAATACAATTTTATTACATATTTATCTTTATTAGTTATGAAATTAATGTTTTGTATAACTCAATTATAGTACTGATTATAACTTGAAAGTAATTGTTAACGGTGTGAAAAAGGCTCACTAAAATAGCCCCTAATTGACAGCTAATATAAAGAAAACGATACATCATAGGACCACCAGGATGGTCCTACAAACTTTATATTAATGAATTATATAATAATGTTAATTTCAGATGATAATGAATTGATTGAAGAATTAAATTTCTTACCCTAGCATTAAAATGATAGCGATCGACGCCATTCCAGTTATCAAGATCATAGGCTGTGTAATGTTTACAACATGCAGCAACTTTAAGCCTATTTCCCGCAGCGTTACCTTGCAGTCCTCTGACATAACTGGCTGCATATTTTCCAGCCAAAACAGGATCCTCACCAGGAGTCTCTTGCCCTCTTCCCCATCTGGGGTCCCGAAATATGTTCACATTCGGACTCCAATATGTCAAACCGGCCATTCCTCCATTGTACATTGCTCTTGCTTCATCAGACACCACCTGCACCCCCACCAACATCAACAGCAAGAGACTATATCAATCAGTTATCGTTCGTTTAATTCAAGCTTTTTTCAATTAAAGATGATTGCAGATAAGATAATGAAATGGAAAACCATTCATTTATGGCTAAATGGAATGGGACCCGACTGAGGATGGGCCGTAAATGCTCGCAAGTTGGACACCTGCCACTTGTTGCATGCGAGGTTTAACTTTTATCTAAAACTTGACAAATTTTATTATTCTTGGTTGAAAGCTTTAGTTGTTAGAATCACTAATATCCTTTTCTCTTATCTCATCCATAATACTATAATTATTTTCAGCCTCATGACATGTTGATTTCATAGCTGAAAATTCATCACATATATAAAGCCAAATCTAACAACCCATTTCATATATTTGTTTAATGGATTTATTATATTGCTAGGTATGGGATTTCTGCAAGTACTACTCAATATATATATAAAATTGTTGTGACGCGCATGTGGTATGGTTCTCTGAATAAATGGCTATACTCCTTTCACTTTTACTTTACTTGTTTAGTATATTTAGATGGTGACATTCTTCCTAAAACTGATTATTTAGGTATTGTTGAAGTGATTTTGAAGTGGGTTTCCTTTAAAAATTATATATAATATCTTAATTTAAGATGAATTAAACAGTAGTCCTCATAGGAATTAGGTATAGCATGTGTACCACTTGACCAATAATGGATTGGGATAATTCACGGATTTGGTTATAGGTGTGACTTGACTTAAAATTTATGTTTGCCTTTCTCCAAAAGCATCATTGGTGGAGATTACAAACTTTTCTAATTACTTTTGTTTGTTTGATTAATCGAATATGTTGATAAAAAATGTACGATGTTTGATAGAGAAAGATCCATACCCGTCCGATTTCCTCCCACATTGATTGATTGAAAGAAGCAGCGGTGGTGATGACTTGAGGGAAGCTAGTGGCCCTCGGGAAGGCCCCACCGAATTTAGTCCCCGGACCCACATTTGACACGCCATGAAGGGCCTCGGACCACCACTCGTATCCTTGAATTCCAAGTCTCGGCACAGCCGCTGCATTGTTCACAAGCAGCCTGATCTTCTCCTGCAATGTCAACCGGCCGATCAAGTCCCTCACTCTCACGTGTATCTGGACCGATACCCGACAGAACTTCAGACTCCTCGTCAACCCATTTCGAGGGTCGCACGCAAAGGGTGAACGTGAGTGTACATGAACAAAATGAGAGTTGAGCGATAGAAGAAGAAGCAGAACAAGTGTTGTTGGGAGAAGTGAAGAAGAAAAAGAAAAGTGCTTGATGAAATTCTGAATGGCGGGCATGTTGATTAATACAATAAGAGAGCTTAATTTGTTTGTTTTTGTTTGTGTTTTTGTTCTAAAATGAAGCCGTTTATATAGAGAAAAAACTTACGTCTAAATGTGAGTGAATAGGGTATTTGATTGAGGTTACACGTCGATTAATATTTCGAAGCTAAATCGAACACAATACACGCAGCCTCACTCTAGAGAGAGAGAGAGAAAGAGAGAGAGAGAGAGCGACAGATTGATGAGTAAGTGAGTGAGTTTAACACGCATTTAGCTGGTAGTTTTAAGAGTGATAGAGCTGGCTATAGCAATTAGCTCAGACTGATAAAGAAAACAATGACAGACAGAAACAAATAGGGAAAAAGGAGAGAAAGAAGATTAGCGCAGTAGTAAATAACTATTTCAGCCATAACTATAAAGCAGATAAAACTAGAAACTGGATACATATATAAACAGTTTCAGAACATGGTGGATTGGTGGTCACGGACGTACGAATCTATTTCTTTATTTGCACTTCTTGCTCACAGTCATATTAGCAGAGGGCACTCAAACGAAGGCAAGAAATTAAAAAAAAAATACTATATTATTTATACGTTCATCTAACAAAATTTTACGATAAAACGTTATATTACTATCAAAAACAAGGAAGAAACGAGTCATATTGCCATTAAAGCTATACTAGATATATACAAATATGCGTCCATGACGTTCTGTAGGCCATAGTTGGTAGTATTTTTTTAAGAATTGTATAAATGATTATATATTCAATATTAATAAAAGTGTACAATATATAGGTTTAACATATTCTATACAAGAAAATACAATTCCTAATAATGAAATTAATCAAAACTATAAGAAAAGATGATTTTATTCCTTAATATTTTTCTCAGCAATGATATAAACATGGCCAATGAAGAATTAATCTCGTGACGTTTCAGTTTTCACTTTTTAGATACATGAACGTGAACTTTTGTCTGATTATTAATCAATTAACCTCTCAAAAATAAAATAATTTTCTTTTTGTCTATTTACTGACTTCAGTTTCATCTTGTGAACTGTATTCTAGAAGCTTATTAATCAGTTTGTTGGTATAGGCTTGTTTTTTCTTCAGATTTATAGGGGGAAATATAAATATTAATTACAATATTGGTTTTTATTTGGATCATATGGTAGTTGACTCGATGATGAGATATTATATGGAATCTGTAACATGCAAAACGACTTAAATTCAATAAAATTGGGGACCCAGAAAGATATATATATATATATATATATGTATTATTTTGGATATTGTATTAAAACAGAAGGGTTTGTTCTTGTTTATTCTTTTTTCATATATTAAAGCAGAAGAAAGGTCCATTCAAAATTGATTATTTTTTAATTTACAGCAAGCATGGATTACCTAAGTACCTAACAGTTTTGAAAAGAAATAATACCAACGAGATGAGACACAATATTCTTATCATTAATTAATTAAGGCATGACATGAGTAATCTTTAAGAAACTCAATTGGAATTTGAAGATCGAAATTCTTTTATCAAATATCAGAATATCAAAGTTGTTGAACAAGAAAATAAATCTTTGACTTACAAGCATGACGGCCTCGGACCACCACTCGTATCCTTGAATTCCAAGTCTCGGCACAGCCGCTGCATTGTTCACAAGCACCTGATCTTCTCCTGCAATGTCAACCGGCCGATCAAGTCCCTCACTCTCACGTGTACTGGACCGTACCCAACAGAACTTCAGACTCCTCGTCAACCCATTTCGAGGGTCGCACGCAAAGGGAACGTAGTGTACGTAACAATGAGAGTTGAGCGATAGAAGAAGAGCAAAACAAGTGTTGTTGAGAAGTGAAGAAGAAAAAGAAAATTGTTGATGATATCTGAATGGCGGGCATGTTGATTAATACAATAAGAGAGCTAATTTTTTTGTTTTTGTTTTGTTTTTTGTTCTAAAATGAAGCCGTTTATATGAAAAACTAGCGTCTAAATGTGAGTGAATAGGTATTTGTGGAGGTTACACGTCGATTGATATTTCGAAGCTAAATCAAACATAATACACGCAGCCTCACTCTAAAGAGAGAGAGAGAGAGAGCACAGATTGATGAGTAACTGAGTGAGTTTAACACGCTTTAGCTGTTAGTTTTAATAGTGATAGAGCTGGCTATAGCAATTAGTAAACTGTTAAGAAAACATGGCAGACAGAACAAAAAGGAAAAAGGAAGAGAAGATACTCAGTATAATAACTATTTCAGCACAACTATAAAGCAGATAAAACTAAAAACTGGATACATATATACACGTTTCAGAATGGTGGATTGGTGGTCACGGACGTCGACGCGAATCTATTTCTTTATTTCCACTTCTTGCTCACAGTCATATTAGCAGAGGCACTCAAACGAGGCAAGAAATTAAAAAAAACACTATATTATTTATACGTTCATCTAACAAAATTTTCCGATAAAAGGTTATATTACTATCAAAAGAAGGATGAAACGGTCATATTGCCATTAAAGCTATACTAGATATATAAAATATGCGTCCATGACGTTCTGTAGGCTATAGTTGGTACTATTTTTTTAGAATTGTATAAATGATTGTATAAATGAAGAGATAAAAAGAGAGAAAGAGATATCAAGAATAAGGGGAGGGTTGAGTAAGAGGGGAATAGATTATTTACAGGAAGTTAGACGTTAGATACATATGGTAATTATTATTAATAAATTAATTAGGAAAGACAATCAACCATAAGAAGAGAGAATACGAGAGAAGGTTGGTAAGATAAGGTTAAGCATCACATCAGTTGGTCCATAGGGCAACCAACCGTACATATTTACATGTGAAACATTCACGGTTCCCTCAAATATTTCCATCTATAAATTCTCCTCTTTTTAGTTTTTTTTTATTTATTATACCTTCCTTTGCGGATAGACCTTAATTAGTGATTCGTTCATGTTATAAGAGTATTTATTAATAAAAAAAGAGAAAAAAAAAAATCAAGTAATTAAACAATAGCCACTAAGTACCATGGACGAGGCAAGGCTATTAATCTGTGGCAACTGGCAAGGGGCCATGGATAAAACACATTCTATTTCTTTCAATAATGGCTCCTCGTACTTTTGGAGCACATGTTACAGTAAACAGGTGCGCAGCAAAACTTGATCTGCTGCTGGTACATTAAGCAAAGAAAATGGAATGGAATTCAATACCCTATTGTGTAAAAACCCTTTAATGACATTTTAATACTAGTATTGTTGACTTAGATAGTGCTAGTATATAATCTCTTCCTCTTGCTTTTGCAGTGATGAAAGAAGGCTAGCAAGCTAGACCGTATATCTATAAACCATTTGACACTTTTTCCTGTCAATTTTTAAAGAATTACTAAGTTTTTCTCCTCCAAAAGTTGCTTGAAGTGAGATTGATGCTTGAGATCTCCATGTGAAGATTATGTTCACCCATCGGAATTCTTCGAATTCCGAATTGATCAGCAATACTTAGTGTTTTGCACATCAACATTAAACTTAACACTATGCTGTGATCCAGCTGCATATGGATTTTCCAAGCCTATCGTTGCTTACTTGCAGACCATTTTCCAGCCGGTGGCGTCGAGAAAACAGAAGGGTATGTGTCCCATCCATAGCCGGTGTTTTTAACATCGACATGGAAACCTATGAAGTTTATTGCAATTTGTATGTTTGACCCTGATGGCATTGCTTGAGACCTGGAGTTTTTGATGGCATAGAGACTTGGTGCAAGGAATTGACACTTTCTTTTGGAGCAATGGCTAATTGTGACAAATTTAGTGTAGCTCATTCCATGACCAAATGGGACACAACATTGCCCTTATAAATCGATATCCTTCCAGGATACCTCTTGATGGGTTTGCTCTCATGCCCATATCTGTCAGGGGACCTTAGCTAAATAGTTCTGTGGATACCATGTCATGGGCAGCTTTCCTCCTGGATATAGAAAAAGTAAAGGAATTAATAACGAGTACATTTGCTTTTACTGAAGAACTTTAACTTCTGTTAAAATGGAAACCTGGATTAGTTGTTCCAAACAGAACATCAGCAATGGCAGTACCACCAGCTTGGCCAGGATAACCAACCCACAAAGGCACTGATACGAGGATCATTTTTAGCAAATGTGACATCAATGGGGCCACCACTCATCAAGACCAAAATTGTAGGACCTCTTGAGGCCCTTGACACTCTGGTTACAAGCTCCTGTTGCAGTCCAGGCAAAGCAGTCCGGCCCTGTCCTTAAATTCTGCCTCTTGGATTGGTCCAGGCCCATTACCAAGACTGTTGCATCGGCCTGGCGGGCTGCTGCCTCGGCAGCTCTAATTGTTGGTTCCCTCTGCACAACGCCTAAGCACCCCTTTGGTGAATGGCTTTGCATATCTTGCAATCCCCTGTCCAGGACTGTGTAACCACATGCAACACCTAAAAATTGTGAAAACATTACTTTGACACCATATTAAATAAGTACTCTGTCATCAACGTATATATATACATACCTGCATAGTTGCCAATCATAGTTACTGTAGCATCAGAGTTGGGTCGCTGACTGCTACAGTTGATGACGCCGAGTGGAGAGTGGTAAAGTTGGCCTAGAGTTCTTCAACAGAACAATGCCTTGTCGTGCGGCCTGGAGACGAGGAATTGGTGGGCTGGAGCAAACATCTCTTGGGCCCAGTTTTCCAAATGGTTGGGCTGACGGCTCGCCGTCGAACATGCCCAGTCTCATTGGACCGTTATTGTGTTGGCTAAAGCCAGGTTAACATCTTCCTCCTTTAGCAATCCTCCTTTACAGCCCCCTCTGTGTGGAGTGCCAGGAAAGGCCCACAATCCAAATCTAAGCCTGCAAAATTTTCCCCAGGAGTCCCAAAAGCTTCAACACCCCGCCCAAATCAATTTTTTTTTCCTCAAATATACAAATTAAAGTGTCATTATTTTCCTAACCTGCTTTGATAGTAATGCAGCTGCTTCTTCTGGTGTGTCGGTATAGTGTGATTATCATATAGAACTCCACAGAGTCCAATCTGAACAATGTATC